CACAGCGAATGCGCGTTTCTGCACCCACTACCCGCGTATTTTTGACGACAAAACGGAAATTTCCCACAACAAAACAGTAGACTGTGTGAGTTGGTACATATTCATCGTAACCGAGAAGCGACGCATGCATGGTGCTCGTTATCTGATTTCCTTTCATCTTTACTTCATTAATACATTAAAGTTAGCATTTGTATACATTTTTTTCTCTTCTTGTCACCGTTGTCAGTGCGCGCTCTTCAGCAATGGAGATTCCAAGTGTTGTGAACTATAAGAAACAATTAAAGAAATATGTAAACGTTGAAATTTGATGTTTCGAACTTGCGCAAGACTGCACACAAGCCTTCTTCGGCATATCGGTGAAACCGGGAATCAGGCCGGGCTGACAAGGTGACCTATACAGTGTTTTCAACAGACCATATTACCTCCCACAGGATTTCTGCGTGAATGCGATTGTTTGCGCATTTTTTTTACTCTCTTTCACACTCTGCCTACATGTAGGACCTACGGATTGGAAAAAATGTTTGCCAGTTTCAAATATTAAAACTACAGGGAAATGAAGCTGCAATGACGATGATGATCTTCAGGTTGGGTAGGAGAAATCATCCCCGTCGTTTTGTTTTACTTATTTCCATAAACTCATCGCCACCACCACCACAATCATCATCACCAAATTGTAATATTTTCTTTATTCACACCTTCGCCTGACCACGTGAACTAGGTGACGCCTACCGCCGCCACTACTGCTGCTGCTGCTGCTACTACTACTACTACTAATGTTGCTATCACTACTAGTGCTACAACACCTACTACTACTACTACTACTGTTGCTATCACTACTAGTGCTACAACACCTACTACTACTACTACTACTGTTGCTATCACTACTAGTGCTACAACACCTACTACTACTACTACTACTACTACTACTACTACTACTACTAGGACTGCTGTTTTCGCTATTACTACTTCAACTACTACGGCATTGACGATGACAACGATGACGAAAATGGAAAGACTAAGACAACTTCAGTCTAAACCGCGCCCGCCTCCTAGCATTTTTCTCACGCTTTCCCATTGAAATTGGTTGCTCAATGTTCCCTTCTAAAAGTAATCACCTAAAAAAAGAAAAACAAATAATAGGTAAATAGATAGTTCAAATGCGAGCGCACAAGAATCTGCAGTACAAATACGAAACAAGAATACCCTTCAAAGGACAGCTCCTAGGCGACGAGAAGCGGGTTTCTAAAATGAAATTCCCGCCCAGACATCCCGTTTTATGTGCTATGCATATTGCCCGGCAGCCCGTCAGCTAGATCGTCGGTCCGGTCATCCATCTCGTTCTTGGCTTTTACAGCAGCACCGAACTCTAGAGCATTTTCTGTTATCGAATTCGCATGACGGTCTCTCCTCAAGAGAAGGGAAGCGCTACATTAAAACGTAACTGAGACATTTAAAAAATGCGTTTGAGATGCGACATTTATTGAAACCTAATTGATTACAAACTTAAATTTTGTACACGTCTTTATTCAATTGACACTTTAGATTAACTGATATTTTCCTGCGCTTCTCGTCCCCATGTCCCCTCTGTTTCGTTTTTGTAGAGTTGGCTTTTTTGCAGGCTTTGTCCAGTTAGGTGGTGCACGCTTTACAGGCAGCTTGCAATGGGAGTTTGCGCATGCGTTTAGTAATAATTGTTGGGGTCCAACGTCCCGAAACCACGATATGATTATGAGAGATGCAGTAGAGGAAGGCCGCAAAAATGTTCGACCACCCGGGCTTTTTAACATGCAGCTATGTCTAAGTACACTGGTCTCATACAATCGGGCCTGCATAGAAAATGCATCCTCCGTGGTGGTGCGTTTGTTCGCAAAGTTACATGCCGCACTGCTCATTAGTATAGGTGAATATGCGTGGGTTTCTGAGTTTGTGTGTGTGTGTGTGTGTGTGTGTGTGTGTGTGTGTGTGTGTGTGTGTGTGTGTGTGTGTGTGTGTGTGTGTGTGTGTGTGTGTGTGTGTGTGTGTGTGTGTGTGTGTGTGTGTGTGTACACACGCACAAACAAACTCACAAGCACACACACGCACAACGCACACACACACACTGGGGAGAGACACGAATACACACTCACATGCACACAAACATACAGACGCAAGAACACACCCACGTAAATATATATTTTCGTTGCAGACGAAAAGCTTGTACAGATGCACAATGCAGCGGCACATTTATTTAAACGGTATTCCCATCCGTTTAGGCCCTCCCCAAAACCATTCGCTTGGTCCTAAAGTTGGCTTTTTTTGCACGTTCAGTCGTCAAAGGTGGAGCACGCTTTACAGAAAGCCAGCAATGCGATTTTACGCGGGCGTTTATGAGGCTGCATGCCACAGTGGCGATGACTGAGCTCACGCCCACGCACACACGCGCGTACAGGCAGGCACTTAAAAAAATAGAGCACAGAAGTCCTCAGGGCAAGCAAATTGCCCCACGCCTGGGTTGTCTATTAGAGCCACTAAATCGATTTCATGCAAAATTTTTGTGCCGCTGTTCTTACACATTACAAGGAAACGACTAAAGCAGAGAGAGTTTTCTTTTGCCGTGAATAATAGTGGGCAGAGTGAAAATACGTTTTTTTTCTTACTTTCGATTCAAAGTGAAATTCCTGCGCAAATGAGTTTAAATGCGAGATGTTCAGCGATCGCGAATTTTCTGTGAGAACACTCTCATGTTTTCTTGGTAGTTATTTTAAAGAAGAGTGGACGAAAACGTTCGCCGTGAAGGGTAGTGGACTCACTTTGTGTCGATATAATCGAATAAAGTAAACACGGTAGACTGTTTCCTCTCGAAGCTGTTTTTTTTATCTCCTTGTACACGGAATCCAAAAGACTGCCTTCGTAAGCCTGTACAAAGGAAGAAAAAAAAACAGAGTGCCTAACTAGTTTCCTTTAAGCCGATGAAAAGCAAGAAATAAAACAATTTCGAACTTGTCCTAGCGAAAAACGCGATGCGTTGACAAAACGCTCAAGTGGGCGCCACTGCACCTGTGCCTTAACGTGAATGAACGAGCGCCGTTCCTTTGAGTGAAGCGAGTGGCGCGCTACGCGAGCAGCCATGCCGCCTCAAAGGCGATGAATGAAAGCACACGTTAGTCGCGAGGGCCCTCTTAGTACAACCAAGCCTATAGGTTTCTCTCTAATAAAGGTGAGTGTCCCTAACGCAACGTCAATCGGCTTCGCTCTGTCTTTCATTTCGACACAGCATAAGTTAGAGCTGTACCATGAACCCAGCAACTGCGTTGCTATTCTTGAACGTACCAATCTATCCAGCTCTCTCTTCATTCAGATCTTCGTGTGTCGGCATTTTTTTTGTCACTCTCTCTCACTCCAGCGTATCTTCCACGCTCGGCCAGTCACCGACGTGGAGAAGACGCAACTAGTGGTTGCCATGGATATTGAGCGACGCCAGTGCCGCCATCCCGCCGCGCGCACGGTGGCGAGTCACTGCGTACGAGTAAGAGTGCGGGTACGTTGACTAACTTCTGGATCTTCCCACGCCGCATCACGTGATCGGAGAGACAGAGACGTTGTTCGTTGCGCCTATTCGTTTTCAGCATCAACAAGTTGCTGCTACTTACTCATTGCGCGTTACCGATATGCCGATGTTTCATACGTTGTTTCTGTACGCCATCCGTGCAATTCGCAAGTGACAACTCAAAAAAAAAAAGAAGAGGAATGCAACCAACAGAGCTCATCGCGAGATCTGTAACTACAGGTTTCTTTTCTTGAAATCCATCGATCCGAATTTTCTAACATGCCTAGATATTCTGTTTTATCCAAAAACGAGCCACATGAAACCAGGTTTCTCGTAACATTCAGAACTCCTTCCGAGCGAAGCTCAATAATCGATCGGAGAAGTCGTCTTTTCTTTTGCTCTCTGTCGGCTTCGCGCAGTCGGGCGTTGTCCATACTCTACTGCAAACGCAACGCTTCGCAGCGCCACCTGTGCATCCGAGCCTCTCGCTCCGGATGTCGAAGCAGACGACGCGGCTAAGTGGAAGCAAAAGATCGCGCAACGCACGCCGCAGCAGCCGCGAGCTCCACCGCCTTTCTCCCACCTTATCAAAGCAAGGAACTCCCTGCTCTGGACGCGTAGTTCCCAGAAGCGTCAGCTCAACCTTTTAGGTAGTACCATTAGTGCTGTGTCCTCGTGTCACATCGTCGGCGTGGATATTGTCCAGTGTCACCCCATTTTTTTTCTTTTCACCATCTTCTGTCAAGCCCGACTAGAAGACAACTCCGTATCTACAAGCCCCCCCCCTCCCCTTCTGTGAATCACATGGTGAGACATTGAGCTTCTCTTTTCAACGTACAATCAGACTGAAAGTACAACTCAGTAGGGATGGGCGCTGCGGATTGAAGTTCAACAACATCACAAGACGAGGGGCTTGGACATCGACAGCCATTGACACAGCCGATTGACGAAGGTAAGCCGAAGCTCGGGACGTCAAGAGTTACAACTTGACCCTTTGAAGTCCAGGCAAAAATAAGTTTCAATGCCGACAGGGACTCGCTCCTCGTAGACACAGGAGACTAACGAAGATTATATAGGTAGCAGACGACAAATTGAAGGGTGAAGTAGAAAGGACGTTAACGAACGAACGAAAAGAATCCGAAGCCAAAGACTCCGCTCAGTAGGACGGTATAAAAAAAACTTCGAAACGTCGTTCACTACACCTTGAAAAGGAAGACTGAAAGAGAGGTGATGTCACGTTGAAATCCAGTGCAGAGTAGTTAAAGAAAGAAGGGGTTAGTAAAAGAAGGAATAAAGGGGTTGTGCGTGAAGTAGCCCTCCGTCCACGGGAACCACGGCGTCCTTTCAAGAGCCTCCCGACGAAAAAGTAACGTTTCCGTACAAGTGTGTTCTCCATGGGCCCCGTCGGAGGAGTTCGGTGATCGAGGATCTGTCGGGTGGTGGGGGAGAGCGTCCCGAGCAGCACCTGCCCGGGATGCGAGAGAACAAGCTGGTGGTCATCGGCGCCGGCGGCGTGGGCAAGACCTCGCTCATCGTGCAGTTCATGGAAGGATTGTTCGACGGTGCGTACAAGCCCACGGTGGAGGACTGCTACAGAAGCTCCATACAGACGCCAGGTGAGATCACGATTCCGCTGCGTCTGGTTTCTGTCTCTGTTTCTTTCATTTTGTGCTTTTTCATGCTACTACTTTCCGAAAAAAAATTATATATCGCTAAGATGACGGGTGGTGGTCATTATGATGAAAAAACAATCAGTGAATGATTGATTGATTGATTTGTGGTGTTTAACAACCCAAAACCACCATATTATTATGAGAGACGCCGTAGTGGGGGGCTCCGGAAATTCAGACCACCTGGGGTTCTTTAACGTGCACCCGAATCTGAGCACACGGGCCTACAACATTTCCGCCTCCATCAGAAATGCAGCCGCCACAACCGGGATTCGATCCCGCGACCTGCGGGTCAGCAGCCGAGTTCCTTAGCCACTAGAGCACTAGATTACCACTAGACCACTAGACCACTTTTTTTGTGGAGCTTGTTTTCTGTGTTGGACATAACCAATTGAATCCGATATAAAATTAAACCAAAGCAAGCACAGAGGACATCAGTTGTCCTTAACTCTATCGTACTAATAACGACGTAAAGTGAAATGAATAAAAGTGAACTAACATCACGCTTTCCGTAGGTGGGATCTGTCAGTGAGTTCGAATCCAAAGAACCGAAAGGGTGCTTTTTTGAATCCGCTTCAACCTATTTCACTTTTTCAGTCCGTTTTGGTGGTGCAGTGGCCATTCTGCTCGGCTGCCGGCCCGAAAGTCAAGGGTTAGAACCCGGCCACATCGGTCGCATTTCAATGTATGCATAATGTTAGAGGCCCGTGTACTCTACGGTGCCAGTGCAAGGTAAATAGCACCAAATGGTCCAAATTTACGGAGCCCCCCAATACGCCCTGCCACGTAAAAATATCATGGTTTTGTAAAATCGCAGATTTTGTTAATAACATTTTAACTTACGTCATCGTTTCTACACTACAATGAGCCACAACTATGCATTCCTTGGCATAATTATTTGTGGAATTCAATTGGTTTTGTCGGGTACAGACATGACGACATTCTCTTAAAGCAGCACATCTCTAGCCTGCTTGGGCCAATTGCGATCATACGCGGTAGAAAAAAGTCTACCCCACTTTGCGGTCATACGCAATAACGCTCGAAGGTTGGCTGCAAGTTGATCGATCACAATCGAAGCCGTCAATCAATACGCAAGGCTGCTTTCACTTGATTTCACAGAGCCCTCTTACGTGCTCACCTTATCGGACAATACCTTGAGGCAACAAATAACAAATAATCTCGAAGTAATACTTCGAGGTTATTTGGGCTGTCATCTATGTTGTTTATTCTTAACGGAATTGTACATGGTGCACGAAATTTCCCATGAAGTGTGTGACCCGATGGCTGCTTACTGTTGAATAAATTATAAAATTTACTATATTTTTATTTCAACATTTTTTACATTTGTGATCTATAGCTTCTGTTCATCCGGCTCGATAGATAGCTGGAAAGTACCTGGGAGGGAGAACAGCAGAAAAATTAACATCTGGATAAGAATATATCCAAGTCAATGATACTAATTTCATGCCCAATTCTAAACGTCCCATCAGCTTGTGCATATTCGGCATCTTTATACCATACAATTAGAAAAAACTAATCCCATAATAATATTTCTCTTGCCTGATGTCATAAATACAAGTATTATCTGATTTCAATTACGCTCTTATCTTGAGCCTACATTGCTTTTTGGAGAAAATACGTGAAGTTGGCAAGACCTAACCCTAATTAAATGAAAGGTACAACTACCTACGTAAAGTGTAGGTCAAGACACACATGCTCGCTCAATTTAACCTTTTTAGGATAATTATGACAACAAGCTTTCAACAAAGAAGTTTCATGGTACAGTACAAAATATTGCGAGGATTTGTACCAAACAAAAAGAAAGACTACTCGATAGTACTATCGGAAAGATTCCCTCATTCGATTCGTCTGTATAGTAAAAGATTAATCCGGAAATGGAATGCTACGAGCTCTATCTTTGCGCTGCTCTCAATTTAAAAGCGTTATTTCATCTTATTGCGATGCCACTACAACGACAAGCCTTTTAATCTCACGTCCCGTCGTGTTCAGAGCAGACGCCAAATCGATTTCTTCGCAACAATGTCTTGTAATGCCCGGATGCGTGTCTAGCACCTTATTGTGCGCAGAACGAGTTGAATTTCCGATAAGGCACTCAGTCACTCTCGGTACTTTCACGCGGGCGATATTCGCTTAGCCACAATAGCTTTCCGAAATCAGGGCTGATTTCTGTTTTCACGTTTATTGAAAAGAATGTGTATGCCAAGCAAAAGCAATTGCAACGATTCTGATTTAGTAGTCACCACGCACTGCGCACCTGAATGCCTTTACACTGACGTTATAAAGGACGCGTCAAAAACAGCTGCGTTTTGTTGTTAAACATTTGAATAGACTCCACTTATGGCAGCACACGCAGTCCAAGTCCTTCCGATAAGCAGCAATGAATTGTATTTTTTAAAGAATTATGTTTTTATAAGAACTGAGAATATACGACGGATGTCGGCTGTATAGAAGTTCAACATAGATTTGCATCAAGAAACAGAGCGGTAGAACGTAGTAGTACTTTCAAAGACTACAAAACACGAGAATCATAAGTGTTTAGGATGAAGCAAAATATGCGGTTAATACACTGCTTATTCTAGGCTGCGTTGTTCTGATGAGCTATAACAAGGTCTGAGTATTAATACATCTGAATTCTTTTTCAGTTTATCTCTTTATTGTTTTTCCTTCCCATCTTTGTCTAGAGACTGTCTCCCGCACCTATCCATCCCCAGCAAAGCAGAATCTATGTGAATGCATGTTGGCTAATCATTTTCCTTCTCAATACATATATTCACCAGTCTCTCTCTCACTCTCTTATTTTTCCAAATTTTCCTGCGACTACGGATAGCCATGAAACGTGCATTTTTAGGAAATGTGCAAAAAGCTTGGCTAGGATTTTTTTTTTTTAAGTTATGGTGCCTGAATATAGTTTAGACTGTCCTATAGGAACACCTGGCAAAAAAAAAGTGTTTGAAACTAAAAGAATAAGCGCAAAGTAATGCTTCGCATCTACTTTCCTGGGCTTTCCATGATGCTACAAATGCATCATGGAAATATGCAATGCAATAATATTGCACGCACAAAAAAATATCAAGTCAGCTTCGCAGTACTGCCACTAAGCACAAAGAAAGAGCTGGGTCGGCAAGGATTTCTTGTTTTTCTTTACTTTTATTTTCTCGGCGTCTTCTCATTCTTCCGCTTTCTCTCTGTTTCGCGTATACTTTTTTCTACTTGTATTCTCTATTTTTTTCCTTTCTATTTATTTATTTGTCTGTCTATTTCATTCTCTCTGTTCCTTTTTTTCTATCTTTAATTTTGTCTTTCCTTCATTCTCTGGCTGCTTCTTTCTCTCCGTTTCGTCGCTTCTCTTCATGTCTTCATTTACTTCTCTTTCCATCTTGCTCTCTGCATTTTTCTATCCTTTTTCTTGTCTCTGTTTCTTTTTTTTATCCCCGTCTTTCAACCTTTTATGTCTTTTTTCGCTTAAACTCTTCAAATAGTTCTCTTTATTTTTCTTTCTATCACTTTTATTCTCGCTCTCCATTTTATCTTTCTTTCTATCTCTTTATATTACTTTCTATCTATCTATCTCCCTCTCAAGCCTTTCGCTTGCTTCACTTCGCTGAACATAGCCTTCGTTTAACGCCCTCCCCTACTGTACTCGGTGATGGGGCCATGCTGATTCCTGTGGCACATGGATGGATGGTGGACTCCCACCTATCATCCTAAGAGACGCGACTAGCGAGCACTTGGATCATCCCGCGTTGGGACGGGCAAGCTAAGCCTGACCGCCGCCAGGTGGGCTCTCTGGATGGCCCAACGTTGGTCGCCCTAGTCGGGCTTCTGATGGCGAAGCACGACTTGGCTTGGTTAGCTTGATAGCCCAGTGACTAGCGGCAGCGCCAGAACATACGCTCTAAATCAGCCACTTTCCCACAACGGAGATACAGAGTCGAGTATTTTTTTTATTAAGGCCTGATTTGGATATAAATTTGTCTGCAGGAATCTAAGCGTAATTGCATGGGTAGACCCAGTTGTGGTTTTATGGGGACACAAAGGTTTCTACCGTGAGCTAAAACTACACGTGACAATACACACGTAAGCGGACGATGGGGTGGCTACTGGGGCTTTTGTCTTCCTGTTGCCGACTTCGATTAATTTTTGCACAAGACAAAACAATAAATAATAGCGCAGTGGTATGTAAACGCAGTCCCCCATCGAAAGGCCAAGGGTCCGCTGACAAAATACCATATACGCGACAAATCCAAGGTCAAATTCAGACAAAGTTCTGACCGTATCGGGCGCGGAATTGCACATGTTAATTATATACATTGCACCAACTACCTAGGAAAAAATGAGTTGAGGCAAATAATAAACACACACTTCACAAAAACTAAAATTTTAGTTCAAGCACAAACTCTTTTCCGACTCTCGAGCATGAAGTTGATTGATTGACAAAAAGAGGTTCCTCCGAAAGTTTCAAATGTATTTATACTTCATACCAAACGTTCGCTCCTGCGAATCCTACAAGCCTCTGTGCGTACACAGTAGTACGTGCCAGTAAACCAAGTTTCGTAACTCCCTACAGCCCTGGTTTCATGAATCGTATAGCTTAATTTGTTAAGCTCTGTACGCTTTAAAAAAATACATAACGAAGATCGCGTACCAGTTCAGAACTGGGAGCACCCGAATATATGAGCAAGGTAAGCGTGCGGTTTTTGTTCGCGCATCTTGTTTACTCAACCATTGTGAGTTCCGCCATCTTGGTCATCTTGTGTGAGTTCCGCCATCTTGGTCATCTTAGGCTGGTATTTTCTTGTTTTTGTGCATTGCAACATGAATTAAGAAGGTCAATAAACATCGTACGCACCAAGCCCACCGTTTTCATGTGTATGCGTCAGCTGCCATAACACCATTGTTTAGTAGTAGAAGATGCAGAACAGGAATGTTAAGAGCCAAACATGGTGGTACAGAAGCTTATCCGTGAAATAGACCACTGGTGAAAGATGAGGCTTGGAGCTGCCAGCTCCGCTTTTAATAAGCGAATTTAAGCTTCTTTTTTTTTCACTGATCCACTTGTAGAACTGTTTATTCGCGTCCGCGTTTTGAGGGGCTTCTCTACATTTGCCCATTTCAGTTATCTCCCCGAACATCAATGGCGTGTTTGTCGATAACTTTGCCTTGAAGCCAAACGTATGTCGGAAAAATCAACGAACAACGTTTATCGAGCCCTGCCAAATGCGCTTTAAACCGAATAGAGACTACTCTGGGAGTCAATGCTAAAAAGTAAATACGTGCTTTCGTTCACAGTTGCGCATGTTGTCGATGTGAAAAGTAATCAGAGTGAGTTTTTCAACTCCCCTTTAAAAGTCAGTGTCATTTTTGTTAAAATTGAGAATATTTGTAATGATGGCAATATCAATTGAGCTACTACTTCCTTTGCGCTTCGTTGAAAAGTCGCCTCCCCCCCCCCTTTTTTTTGAGAGGGGGGCTTCAATTGAGAGGATTATTTGCTGGCTTGTTAACTCGATAGCATCTCGCAACTCTGGTTGGCTCTCTGTCGGTGCGCAAATGCGTAAATCATCTAAAACCAGTGGGCAGTCTGTCGTGTAGTGCGTGGCTTCTGCCAAGCCCTTGAACACCTTATTGCAA